AGCAGGACAGGGGTCCATGGTAGGTTTGTGGTGGGTGCAAAGGCAGGAGGTGCTCACTGCTCCTGCCCACATCTGGGCCCTTCCAGAGCAAGGCAAACACCAGCACAGCTGAGGGAGCCAAGCCACCAGTGAAGGAAAACACAGGGTGTCACCCAGACCTCTGTGTCACCTCCTTCTCTAGGCTTTCTGCTGAGGATGGGCAGCCCTGGTGGCCCAGGCTGTGTGGAGCACAAGAGCTGAGGTTCCTACAAAACTGATGGCACTTCCTTCCAGTTGATCAGCAACTCTCCCTCCTTGCCCCCTGTCACTCTCCTGCCCTGGAGAATGAGGCTTTAGGCTCATTTATCACCCTTCCAGCCCCAGTTGCCCCAGTCTGGCCATCACACTGGGCAGCTGGACCTTGCTGGCCTCAGATATCTCCCTGGTCTCCTTACCCATCAGACCTCCACTTGGACAGGGAAGCTTTGACTCTGATTTTCCTGGCTTCCTTGTTAATCCTCAAGAAATGCTGCTAACCCAGATCAGAAGAAGGTGGGGGGAGAGGGTTGGAAATTCAAAGCTGCTGTGAGGCTGTGTTTTTATAGATATACATATATATTTACCTTTTAAAAGCCTCCCCATCCCCTTCTCTGTGCCATAACATGAATTGCTCACTTCATAGGTGCAGCAGAAGCCCACATGTCACCTTCTACACTGGGGTCAGGCCAGGCCAGCCCTGTTTGAAGTTCCCCAGCACAGTGGGGTGAGCCTTCAGGTGGCTTCTCACCCCAGATTTAGGAGGGTGCAGGGCTGGGGAGAGGTGAGAGGGGCCATGCAGGGTGCTGGCCTTATGCTGGGACCACTCCAGCCACCACATCAAGACAAGAAGCCCCAGGGAAGGTGATGGGGCTGCAAACCACAGTGGGCACCTGTGCAAACTGCAGCTCCCACAGCGTGTCCTCTCCATGCTGGGCCCCCTCTGCCCCTCTTCCCATGGCCCCCAGGCAAACCTGCCATGATTTGGAGGAGCAAGAGGGTGAAGGAGCATCTACCACACAAAGAGAGGCTGGGAGAGCTTGGTTAGCCTGGGGAAGAGGAGACTGAGGGGGGGGAATCTCATCAATGCTTATAAATATCTAAAGGGTAGGTGTCAGGAGAATGGGTCCAGACTCTTCTCAGTGGTGTCCAGTGACAGGACAAGGGGCAGTGGGTGCAAACTGGAGCCCAGGAGGTTCCATGTGAATCTCAGGAAGAACTTGTTTGCTGTGAGAGTGCCAGAGCCCTGGGCCAGGCTGCCCAGAGAGGCTGTGGAGTCTCCTTCTCTGGAGACATTCCAACCCCCCTGGCCACGTTCCTGTGTGATGTGCTCTGGGTGCCCCTGCTCTGGCAGGGGGGCTGGGCTGGGGGAGCTTTCCAGGTCCCTTCCAGCCCCTGGGATTCTGTGGGTCTGTGATTCCATGTCCCTGTGATGTGCTCTAAACTCCAGCATGCAGCTCGTGGAGCCCTGCCTGCTGGGAGAGGGCAGGGACAAGGTTCTGAAAGCAGGTGAAGAGGGATGGAAGAAGAGAGTGGGGAAGTCTTAAGGCTGGAGCAATGAGCACTGACTCAGGTAGGGCCCATTAGTGCTGTCAAAACTGGGGGTCACAGTGACATTGATTTCTGGGAGAGCAGGCCCTAGCTTGTCCTGTGCCTTGTGGGACAAGGTGGGACCTTGATGCCTCTATGTAAAAGGTGTGGTAGAGGACAGGGGACTGAAAAGCAAGTGGGATTTGCTCCTGGGATTTTCCCTTCCTTTCTTTTTTCCTTGTGTTTTGGGTTTTTTTTGGCAAGAAGTTCATGCTTGGGCTGTTTTAGCAGCACAGGATGGTCTTGGTCTGCTGTGGCAGGACAGAGAGTGGGATTGACAGGTCTGGCTGGAGCACCAAGGGGATCCTCAGGAGCAGCTGGGCTCAGGCTGGCAGGGTTTACTCATGGAGACACACTCCATCCACCCAAGTATGTAGCTACTGGTGGTGGGACAAAGCAGCCCAGGCACCCACAGGAATGGTTTAGAGGCACCACGAGAGGTGGGGAGCAATGGGGTGGTGAGTGCAAGGCAAAGTGAACAGTGCTCTTAAATCAGTGCAATTTCTTCCCCAGCAAAGGGAGGGAAAGGTCCTGGCTGAGCATGGGCTGCCCCTTCAGAAGGACCTGCTCATGAGGAGGAGAACCCCAAACGTGGGACTTGGTTGTGCTCCAGGAGAGATGTCTCCAAGCTGCTCCTGCCTCTGTGGCATGCTTGATGTGGTTAAGGTAGGGAGGGAATCAGGGGGCTGCAGCCCAGCCTGGTGTCTTTGTTCCCCCAGGAAGTTCCTGAAGGTCCAGTGCCTGGAGAGTGGACAGTGGGAAGAGGGACACTGCATCCCCGTGGTGTGTGAGCCCCCTCCTCCTGTCTTTGAGGGCATGTACAACTGCACCCAGGGCTTCGAGCTGGACAGCCAGTGCACCCTCAACTGTGAGCCACAGGGACAGCAGGTGAGTGGCCTGGGGAGCTGGCAGAGATCACCCAAGCCTTGTGCTTCAGGGCACCTAAGACCCACCTGGATCCCTGTGCCCAAAAGGACCTTGCAGCAGCCACCCCCAGGGCCTGGTGCCACCAAAGAGCAGTCACCCTTGAGATCCCAAAGCTCTTCTTGCTGGATGCCAGGTGCCCCAGCACAGGGTGCCACAGCACAGGGTGCCCCACTGGCTGGGGATGCTCCTTGGTGACCCTTCTGAAAAGCTGTGGTCCCAAGTGAGCCTGCTTGTCTTCAGTGGCAAGGGCTGGCAAGCAAAACTAGAGGCTTCCTGGTGGGTTTAAGGAGCTGCTGCAAATGTGTTCCCCTGGGATGCTGAGTGCCCTGGCTGCAGGAGACCTGCTAGCCAAGGGGCTTGCCTGGGGCAGATGCTGCTGCCTGCCTGGCTCTTCCACCCAGTCCTCACTTCTGACCTGCTGGAAGGGTCTTGTCAAAAGAAACATGGTTGATTTTCCTCTGGTGGGATCCAGAGGAAAAACCCTCTGCCCAGTCATGCAAATCACACACAGGCTGGGCCAGCTGGCTGCAAACCCAGCTGCCCTGGAGAACTTCCCCCTGGGCTTCCCAGGCAGGAGGAGTTGGGGGGAGGTCCCTCACATTCTGCTCCCTCCCTGGGGCTGGGCAGTGGGCAGGCAGGGTGGGTCCTGCTGCTGATCCTAAAGCTCTCCCCTCTGCTTTGCAGGTTCCCATCAGCTGCACCAAGGAAGGTTTGTGGACAGAGGAGTTCAAACTGTGTGAGAACTTACAGGGCACCTGCCAGCCCCCCCTGGAGCAGAATTCCGTGGAGTACAAGTGTGAGCAGGGACATGGCATAGGTGAGGGCAGGAAAGCAAACCTTCAGGTTGGCTTGGCCCTCCCAGAGAGCCAAAGCTCATGATGGTTCTTCTTGCACCACTCCCTGCTAAGCCTCTGAAAAAGACAGAGTGCTTAGTAAGCCCTGAATAGGTTATGGTTGGAGCTGATGATCTTCCAGGTGCCACCCAACCAGGATAATTCTGGGATTCTACACCAAAAATCCTGTTTTCTCTCCCATCTGCTTTCTAAAGACAGAGGCAGGGGTGGCTTTAGCCTTGTTCATGCCCTGGTTTTACTCATATGCAGCTAAAGGTGGCTCCAGTGTAAGCATTTTCCTTTTCAGAAGGAGCAGGGACTGGTCTCCAGGGCAAACCCAGCCCTTTGCAGCAGTTTTCCTGAGGTGTCTCCACTTGTTATCCCTGCTGATGTTTTCAGGGGGACTGTGGCAGGCCCTGGATGAAACCTGCAGTGACAATCCATGTAACGGGGCATTTTCACCAGATGAGGGACCACATCATCCATTTCTTTCTCTAGGACTCCCATCACTTTGTGCTTTCAGGAAACAAAAAGCTGCAATATTCAGGCACAGCTGGTGCATCTCCTCTGTTCTGCTGCTGGACAGGACACTTGACCAAAGCCCACCCCACTCCCAAGCAAACAAACCCATTATTCTGGGTCTGATCAAAGCAGGCAGAGGAGATTCTAAGGGCAGGGCCTGCTAAGGTGAAGCTTTGGAGAGATCTGGAGTTAGGGCTGGGGTTTACCTGGTTTTCCAAGGTGTTTTTTGCAGCTTTTTTTGTTTCCTGGGTCACAGGGATGCAATGAGAAACCAGTGTGGTAGAAGAACTAAGCAAGGTGCTTCCAAACATGTCCATAAACATCCCATAACATCCAGGCCAGACTTATGCTGGACCCTATGGTCCTGCCATTGGGGTTTGAATCCATCTCTTAGGACATGTTAAGTTTTCCTCCCATCTGGGAGAACTTTATGGGCCACAACTTCTGTGGCTTCTGCATCATTCAGGGTTTGGGGAAGGAAATGTCATCCCAGGCTGGGAGGGACAGACTCTCCTCCATGTCCACCTCTACCCTCAGTGAGTGGACTACACATTTGGGTCTGGTGTTCTCCTGTAAAAATGCTGTTGCCTGGTTCCTGAAGAAGCCCTGAGGGCTTTCTCTCCTGCCACAGGTGCTGTGTGTGTCCCTTCCTGCCTCATACCTCCCAGTGACCCCGTCATACTGCCCGAAAACGTCACTGCTGAGACGATGGATCACCGGCTGCAGCCCACCAGAGTCCAGGTGAGCAGGGAGGTGGGCTCCTCTAGCAGGGGCTTCACTGCCAGCATAGAGGGGGACCTCCAGGTGGTGGTTTTTAACCAAAAGCTCATTGCCTTGGGTAAAGAAGAGGAAGATTTGGGAAGACAAGCAACGTACGCTCAGGGCTGGCTGGCCCTCCACATGGAGCTGCTGTTGGAGGTACCTGCTGCTCCCCAGTCCCTTCCAATGCTGAGGTCCTCTTCCCTCCCAGCACTTCTTCCTCTTCCTCCCTCCCTGGTGGATGTCCTCCCTGCTCTCCTGTCCCAAAGCTCAGTGCAAAGTTGCCAGCTGCCAAGGACTTGGAGGATACCTCGACGCATGAAGCGAAACCCAGGAACTTCTTGTTCTCATGCCCAAACCTGCCAACCTGCTGCTGCTGTTGGCATCAGGCAGTGTGCTGGGAGAGGGAAAAAAACCCAACCAAAAACCCAGATCACCCCTGGCACTGGGCACGGTGTGAGTGCTGATCCCTGATGACCTGGCAGCAGAGATGCAATCCCAGGCAGGCATTTCCCTGCCAGGGAGGAGGAAGAAGAGGCAGGGCTGGAAGGTGTCTCTGGCTGCCAGAACCTGCTGGTTGGTCGCTTCTGCTGCTGGACCATGGGGAGCCTTTCCCTCCCTTTCCCTCCTCATGTCTTACTATTTTTGGGGGGTGATTTTTTTGAGCAAAGCAGCTCAAATAGCTCAAATAGTTTGGATCCTCCCAGCACGGCTTTCCCAACGAGCCGCTCGGCCAGGGTAGTATTTCTTCAAATCAACCCAAAGAAACGAGATGCAGAAGGAAGGAGGTGGAACAAAGGCAAGCAAGCAGCCTTCCCCAGGAGCCAAACATTTATCCCCTCCTCCTGGGAACCCGCAGGAGGCCTCTAGCAATCTGGCCTGGGAATGGTGTGGATGCTCCTGGGGGGGTGAGGGTGGCCGGGGCGTGCGGGACGGTGAAGCACGAGCCTTGGAAGGAGTCCTGGCCTTTGAGGGATGGAAGGGCTTGGCTCCTCCAGGAGCTGGTGTTTGGCTCCACCACTGTGGGCTCTCGTGGAAGGGAAGCATTTTGCAGAGGGGAGGAGGAGGAGGAGGCATTATTTTAAGCAGCAGCTTTACCCCTCGCCAGGAGGTCCCTCCCTGGGCTGTCTTGTTTTCCTCTGCTCCCTGCTTTGCTCCTCCAAGAGCTTCCCATTCCCGGGAGCCCCTGTGCCCTGGAGACGATGGAGAGGATGGTGTGAAGCACACAGGTACTCAGGGAGGGCGTGGTCCTGTTTTGCTTTCAGCTCTGACTCACTGCATCCTGCAGCTGGGCAGCTTTGTCCCTCTGCCCCTCATTTCCCAGGCTGGAATGCTGAGCACATGAGGATGAGCACACCCCAGTGCCATGCAAGTTGCACAACAACCACATAGGAAACACCCCAGTGGGGGTCAGGATGCAAATACCCCCCAGGCCCAGCAGGAACTGGCTGTTTCAGCCCCCAGCTCCCTCTGGCTCTGCCTTCCCTGTGCTGCCTGAGGAGGGGCAGCCCTTCACCCTGCCCCAGTCCCATGGAGGGCTGGGATCTAACCCAGAGCTGACAGGTCTGCACAGGCAGAGCTGCCCTGTCCCCACTGCCCATGCACCCAGAGAACATAGGTAGAACCATGGACTGGTTTGGGTTGGAAGGAACCTTGAAGATCATCCAGTTCCAACCCCCCTGCATGGGCAGGGACACCTCCCACCAGCCCAGGTTGCTCCAAGCCCCATCCAACCTGCCCTTCAACACTGCCAGGGATGGGGCAGCCACAGCTTCCCTGGGCAACCTGGGCCAGGCTCTCACCACCCTCACAGCAAAGAATTTCTTCCTAATGTCTCACCTAAATCTCCCCTCTTTCAGCTCGAAACCATTACCCCTTATCCTCTCCCTCCCTGCCCTTGTCCCAAGCCCCTCCCCAGCTTTCCTGGAGCCCCTTCAGGCACTGGAAGCTGCTCTCAGGTCTCCCTGGAGCCTTCTCTTCTCCAGGCTGAACACCCCAACTCTCCCAGCCTGGCTCCAGAGCAGAGCTGCTCCAGCCCTCCCATCATCTCCGAGGCCTCCTCTGGACTCCCTCCAACAGCTCCATGTCCTTCCTGTGTTGGGAGACCCAGAACTGGACCCAGCCCTGCATGGGGGGGGTTCTCACCACAGTGGAACAGAGGGGGGAAGCTACTCTGGCTGTTGGGGCCAGGCTGCCTGGCTGCTCCCCATGCCAAAGCAGAGGCTCAGAGCAAGCAGACGTGCCCCTCTGTGTGACTCCCAGGCCGTGCAGGGCATCCTAGGACACTTCCCCAGGCCAGACAGGGTTTTATGGGGCCTCAGGTTTCAAACCCTACCCAAGCTTTACGGGCAGGAAATTGCCTGTGTGGTGGGGCTTTCCCTCCCCCTGTGTGGTGGCAAGTGCTCCCCACCAACCCCTCTGAGCAAGCAGACCAGCATTCCAGCCTTGTGAAACCCAGCCCTTCCCAGCTCACTCCTGTGTCTCTTTGGTCTCAGCAGCTGAGTTTGTGCCTGGTAAATACCAGCAATTACCTCAGTCCCACCAGGGAATGTGAGTCTAGTGCTGCTGTTCCAGCTCTGGGGATGTGAGTTTTCCCCCCATCCAGGGCTTGGGCAGGGGTCAATGATCTCATGGATGCAGGCACTGGGCAATGACTGGCTGAGCCCCTCATCCCCTTGGAGCCAGAAGCTGGTGAATCCAGCACCACCATGAGAGGTGATGGGCAGAGCCCAGCCCATTGTGGCCCCAGGTGGCTTCTCCCAGCAGCAGCTTTGTGGCCAAGCCAGCCTCCGTGGGGTGGCACTGCTGGCCAAACCCACTTCTCTTGTGGTCCCAGCCATCTCCTTTTGTCCTCTCCCAGTTGGGTATCTACATGCACTGACATGTACCCACAGGTGTGTTTGCCCAGCCTCTGCCTTGAGTTGCCCACCCTGGTCTGTGGGTGAACCAGGAGGTTTGATGGGCTTCCCTGGGTTTCCTGCTAGGCAGAGGTGCAGGTAAGTCCTGAGGGGGCTGCTGCTGGTCTGCACCAGGGTCAGGGGAGATGTTGCACTTCTAGAGAGCATCAGTGGCTGTTGTCCTTCCTCTGTCTCTTTGCCTAACAGCTCCTTTCTCCCCTCCCTCCTCAGCACATCGTGTGCACGGGCAGGCGGCGCTGGCACCCGGATCCCTCTGCCATCCACTGCATCCCGTCCTGTGAGGTAAGGCATGAGCATTCTGCTCCTTGCAGGGCAGCTCGAGGCCATGAAGCCTTGCTGAATCATAAAGCCTGATGGCCTTGACTTCATATTTGCTCCAGGCTGAGCAGGGAGACCAGGGCAAGCAATATAAAGAATGGTCCTTCACAGCCAGGGTGATGCTCTGGAACAAGAGCTGCAGAATAACCCTTTCCATGCAATTACAGCATGACAGACTGGTTTGAGTTGGAAGGGACCTTCAGAATCACCCAGCCCCAACCCCCTGCATGGGCAGGGACACCTCCCACCAGCCCAGGTTGCTCCAAGCCCCATCCAACCTGCCCTTCAACACTGCCAGGGATGGGGCAGCCACAGCTTCCCTGGGCAACCTGGGCCAGGCTCTCACCACCCTCACAGGGAAGAATCTCTTCCTAATGTCTCACCTAAATCTCCCCTCTTCCAGACTAAAGTTATTATCCCTTGTAAAAAGTCCCTCCTTAACTTTCTTGCTGGCTTCTTCTTGGCCAGCCTGGGAAGAACATTCTAGCAAAAGGATTTCACTGGCAAGGGGTATCCCCAAAAACCCCACACTGACTCCAAACCTGAATATTTCCTTAACCAGAACTGCAGTTCTAGAGTTCTACAGATCCAGAAAAGCCCTGAGTGACTCAGGTGTCCAACCAAAACAAGAAGGATTTCCAGCCCCATACATGCAAAACAAACCGCTCCCAAAGAATCTGCCGACAAAGAATTCCTTGCAGGAATTGGTTACCCACTCATTTCACTTGGAATAATCACCAGGCAGGAGAAAATCACAGGCAGCCTGGAGTCTGTTCACAAAGGAAATTAAAAATAGGCAGTCTTTGTCAGGCACTAGTTGTTATTATGATTAAGGATAAAAGGAAAAAGGTTGGCGGAGGGGGAGGGGGGTTATTTTGGAATTGTTGGATGCTGAAAATTTGGGTTGGTGACCAAAAAGGAAAATGCAAATGAAGCTTGAGCTCCAAAAATAGCTTGGGGTTTTGCTGGGGTTTTTTGTTGTTGTTGTTGTTTGTTTGTTTTTACTGAACGTGCTGGTTTCAATGCAAAGGATCATTTTTGCTCCCTGGTTCTGCCCAGCTCAGCTCTTTGTGGAGTGAAGTGTGGGAGAAAGGGCCGTGTTGCAGGGGCCATGTCCCCAGGAAGGGAAATATCATGATGGAGAGAAAGTGCAGCAGTTATTTCCCAGCCTCCCCAGCTGTGGTTGTGTGTCTCTTCTGCAAGGCATGGGCTGCAAGCACAGGGGAATAGGGTGCTGGGTGCTAGAGAGGTGTTTGGTGGCTGAGCAGCAGAGTTTAGTGATGGGTCCTCTGGGTTTTTGGGAGCTCCTGCAGCACATCTTTTAGCTCAGCTCTGTGGCAGTGTGTTTGAAAGAGAAAGAGCAGTCCAGGTGGTTGTGGTGTTCCTCTCTGTGGTTCTTCTGCTAGCAAGGAAGAACTGGACCTTGTGGTCTTTGGGAGTTGGTATTCCAAAAAGGAAAAGGAGCAGCTGGGACATGAGCTGCCCCTTTTTCCCTTTCTGTGCAGTTCAGGTGGGAGAAATCTCACCTGGGTGTAAGTATGGTCCTTTAGGATTGGGTCCACTAGACCCACCCCAGTCTTTCCTCCTCTCTATGGTCAAGGATATAGAGTCTAGGACTGAGTATGTAGGGTGGAGGGTTTAGTATCTATGGTCAAGGGTCTAGGGTCTAGGATTGAGTATGTAGAGTTTAGTCCCTCATCTCAGGTGCTGTAGGGGATGATGAAAAATGCCAGCTTGTTTGTGTGTGTGTGTGAGAGAGAGGGACCAACTGACCAACTGCCTGAAACCCAGCATCTTGTATAGCAATAACTGTCTTCTCCTTAGCCACCCAAACGTGGTCACAGTCAATGTGATCCCTTCCTGCTCCTGGGTGCTTGGCATCCTCCTTTACTCCTAGAAAGCAATCCTAGACAGCAGTCTTAGTAGAAAAGAGGTTAGGCAAGCCAGAATCTTGCAATGTCCTACCAGAAGATGTAGGGCTCATGCTACTTGTCACCTTGTAGACTTGTCTGTGCCTTCTCAGTTTTCAATTAACCTGTCAGCAGGACTGACCAAGCCATACATACTCTTCCAGCTGAGGTCTCACCAAAGCCCTGCACAAAGCTGCCTTGTGCTGGAAATGTCTCTTTTGATAGGATCCAGGACTCTTATCTGTTATTTCTGCAGTTTCATCTGCTTGGCAGCTCAGAGATGGCCTGAGGTCAGCAAGTACACCCAGATCCTTCTCTACATCCTTTGTTTCCAACTGATGAGCTCCAAGCTAACAGCAGATGTTTTACCACCAATACAAGAGCTTGCCCTTCAGTTTTATACCAGTGAATGTCATCCTGTTGCTTCCTCTAGCCCTTCAGGTCATCTCACTGTTTGTCAGATGTCCTGGTCCTGCTCTGTGGAACTGTGCCTTCTTCCTCATTAGCAATTTCATCAACTCAGTCCTGTTTTTAAGGTCACAGCCACTCACTGTAATACTATTGAAGATTCCTGCTCAGATTGTTTCTCTCACACTGATGATCACTCTCTTTTTTTTCAACCAGCTCCCTGCTCTCTTCCTCACTTCTCATGTACTTGTCTTTGATTAGTTTCTTCATCAAGTTCTCCTCTATGATGCTGCAGGTTATTAAGGTTGGACTGATAAGCCAAGTCTTCCATGGTAACTTTCTTTTTCACCTGCTTTTTTATAGTAGTAAAAAAGCCATAAAGAACAACTTCCCAGTTTCTCATTTCTCTTGGAGCTGCTGCTCAGCACTGGGAAGAAGGGAGGTGTTACCAACCCCTTTGTCTGACCACAGAAAATGTCCTGGATGCTATTTCCACCTAATCTTTGCCTGCTTCCACCCTCAGTCCTATTCCTCTCCTTCATTTACCTGTATGAGAAATGTTCTGCTCCTGCAGAACACAGCCACTGGTGGGTCTGAAGTGGTTCAACTTGACTTGCTGGGTCTTTGGACATCTTAGTCTCAGGTTCCTCCTTGTTTCACAGGAGGCACCTCCTTTAGGAGGCAGTGAAATGCTGTTCCAGTGGACTCTCCAGGTCATCTCAAGTCTGAGTCACCCCTCAGAGATGCCATTGTCTCTCCCTTGGCTGCAGAGCATGTGTTGGATGAGGAAGCCTTCTCATCTGGACACCTCAGTGAGGGGATCAACCCTACGTAAGAGAAACCCAAGCTGCTCCTACCATCTCTCCCTGGTGGAGTCACTTCAGGCTGCAGCATGGCAGCACCAGCCAAGACTCAACCCTCCCAGCCCCAGCTGGAGCCCTGCCTTGTGTTGGAACATTGAGGTCACTGCTCAATGGTGTTAGAGGGATTCTCACTCATCTTTATTGTGTGCTGGCAGCAGATCAGCCTTGACTGCGCATCCTTCTCACTCCTCTCTCCACCTCCCTTCTCTTCCCATTAATCCAGCCGTCCATCTGCCTTCCAGAGTCTCCTTGTGCCTTGCCAAGTTCCTCAATGCTGGAGCAAGGAGGCACGTAGTTCAGGGAGGGAAGGAGGGGAGGGATCCTTTCCAGGAGCCCGTCAGGAACACGAGGGAGCGCTGAGTGCGCAGAACATCTCAGCCCCAGCCATCAGCAGCAAAACAGCTGGCAGCACCAGACAGGGGGAGGAGGGGGCTTGGAGGGAGAGGGGAGGAGGAGAGACACCCACCTTGGTTTGGGAGGCAGCAGTCAGTAGTCCTGGTGGTGTGCTCAGCTGCTGGGAAGGAGCTGTTTGCATCCCAAGGCCACCACCGCTCAGTTCTTCTTCTCCTGTGCCCAAGAGCAAGTGAAGCTGTTGCCTGCAGAGGAGGAGAGGGCATGCACAGTGCTCCAGGTTACTTCCTTGGACTATTCCAAAATAGTCTATGCCTGAGCCAGTCTTGCTATAGAGCATTTCCCAGCCTATGCAGCCCCCCAGCTCTGCACCTCTCCATCTCCCACCACAGGGGCCCCTGTGGTTTAGGTGGGCAGCCTCACTCTTCATCATCATCATCATTTCTACCCAATGTTAGCCACAGGATGGAGCAACCACCACTGTCCTCTTCAAATACACCCAGAGGAAGGCAGGTTGCTCTCTCTGTGGTTGGAGTGAAGGTCTGAAGGTGGGACAGGCATTTCTGGGCAGCCAATACGTTGTGCAACGTGCTGACCTCCAGTTTTATTTCACCATTGTGTGCAGGCAGCAAAGGGTTAATTGCAAGAGATTTAAGGGCAGGGATGCACAGCTTCATCCTGGTATGGCTGGAGCTGGACCAGAGCTACTACAGCTGTGTTCTGCAATTCCTTCCTGGAATTTCTGGTTGAGGTTGCCTTTGCTCTGAGCAGCCCTGCCTGAGTGCTTGAGGAACGTGCTGAGACTTTGGCTTGAGGTCTTCTCCCTTGTGCCCTTGGTGAAGATGGGCCATATCAGCAAGCTGCCATGAGCTGCTTGGAATTTCTCAGGTCTCCTCCACGTGAGGACAAGGTCTCTCTGCCCCTGTGTGTGCTGCTGGTCATGTTATCACCATGGGAAGAAGCCAACCCGTCACCTCTTTTGTGGTTTTCCTGAGCTATTGCAAAGGAAACAATGAGAGAGAGACTGAAGTGTGTTTGTGGTTGTTCTCAAGTCTCTTGATCCAACAGGTAGTCAAGGACCTTGCTGGATCCTTGGCTCTTCCCCCCAGCACACACAGAGCCCTTACTCAGCACGTCTGTGGCTGGTGGCCAGCATGGGGTGGCCAGAGTTAACCTTTTGGAAGGCAGATGCAACAGGGCCTGGTCTAAAATCAGGGTCCTGCCATGCTTTAATGTGCCCCACCCCCTGGGCAGGATGCTGCAGGCAGGGTGAGCTGCAGGACCCTCCTCACCACCAGTGGGGCTGGGGCTCCTCAGCTGTCCCTTCTCCCAGACCTGGGGGGTGGGAGGGTGTCTGGTTCTGTACTGTGGCAAAAGTCAGCACAGGAAAGCAGGTGTGGTGCTGGTGGGATGCTCCACACTGGGGGAAAAG